GTGCAGCGTTATTGGAAGCTAAAACTAAAGGCTAGCTAAAATAGCAAAAGCTAAAAGTAGCTGAAATATAGCTAAAAGCACCACAAAAGCTAAAATACCAAACGTCTATAAGGTAACACTGAAATCTTGAAGTAGCAAAACGCTAGCTAACCCAAACACAAAGCTATTAAAAAGCTAAAGTATACAGTTTTTAAAAAGTTGTAGTAGCAAAAGGCCAACTTGAAGCTATGTAACAAAAGGCTAGCTAAAAGTAGCAGAAAAGTTGATACAAGCTAAAAGTAGCAAAAGCCTAATTAAAAGTAACAAAAGGTTGACTAAAAGTAGCTGAAATGTAGCTAAAAGCATCAAAGACAAGCAGCAGAACAGCAGCTAAAAGCTATCTGCAGCAGACTTGTAGCTAAAAAGTCTAAAGTAGCTGAAGCAGATTTAAAAGAGAACCAAATTTCTGAAAGAATTGAGTGATTTCCACGAGGAAAATAACTCGTAAATAAAGTTAAAGAATTAAAAGTTTAAAATCAGCAGCACATCTCCTGAATGAGCTGAACACGAGCAGTAAAAACGTCACAACGTATTTAGATGATAAAATAATTGTTTTTAAAGTGTGTAATTCGATCAGGTGTAAACGGCTCATCCTCTGAATTTAGGAGCCTTTAAAATCAAATGATTCAGTTCAGGATATTTTTCAGAACTCCGCGGTTTCATTGACAAGTTTGTTTTTCATGGATCAACTCGGTTTCAGTTTCATTTGTCGCTGAGAGAATTATTAAAATTGATTATTAAAATTGATTATTAAAATCACTAAAAATGAAGGTTAAAAACGTGTTTTTCACATTTATCATGCGAGCAAACACCCAGGAGCCACAGCAGACACGATGCGGACAGATGTCAAAGTCAGAAGTTATAAAAAAAAAAGGGTTTTAAATTTTAGTTCTTTTAAAGTTTCTCACTTATAAAAGCTTCTCCTTTCGTTACTGCTCCCGGAGCCGTTCCGGCAGTTCGGGACCGAACAGCACTTCGGCATCTCCGGACCGAGGCGGTTCTGGCAGCTCGGTTCGGTTCCGTCCAGCTGGTTGTTCTTAACAAGGTGAGTCCGGTTGTTCCGCTGCTGAAACTTCCCGTGTGTTGTCATCTGGTCGACTGACGACCAGCTGTCGATGCGTGTGACGTCACATGTATGCGACCATGGATGTATGACAGGCAGTTGTAACATGTATTGTATTCAACAAACTTTTAAAAAAAAAAAAAAAAAAAAAGTCATGCTGTTTATTTATATTCTTACTAAGAACATAAAAGCACATCTAAAATAAAATTCACCTCTTATTAAAAATATGTATTTTTAAAAATCCTAGAAGTTAAATGTTGCAACCAGTGGAATGGAATGATTTACAGGTGGCAGACCCTGGTCCTTGAGGGCCACGGTCCTGACTCCAGGATGACTGAGTCCCTCTGCTCTCATTCCTTCAGACCAGGTGCGTCCACCAGCAGATTCTTCCTCAAGGACCGCTCTGCGCCTCATCTCCCATCACGGCGGTGTCGCCGACAAACTGGATACTTGAGCTCCTGGAGTGGATCGTTATCGACCGTTCAACAAAAACCGGACTGAAATGTCCAGTGTCACAGCCGAAACTGCAAACATTTAAAATTATTGAGTAAAAAAAGGATAGTTTGTTTCTAAAATCACTGAACTGGGTTTTTTAATTCAATAATTTTCTCCAAACATTACACATAATCTTTAAATGATACAGTATATATACATACACGAGTGTATTCGTTTCTCTGAACGGGTGAGGGTCTTCAGACGTTGCAGCTGTGCGTATCACGTTCTGGACGGGGGGGGTGGGGGGGTTAATGGGTCTGACTTTGTACTGAACACTGGAGTGCCACTGC